ATACCCAGTTCACAATATACCCAGTTCACAATATACCCAGTTCACAATATACCCAGTTCACAACATACCCAGTTCACAACATACCCAGTTCACAACAGTATTTCTTAAACCTTCGTCCGAGAATTATTGGAGAACATATTCTAGTTTTTAAACTAAATATTGACAATTTTATTCACTTATGGTCACTCTATAAACGTGACAAACATCTGCAGTACATAATCCATTTTAGACTGCAGTACATATTATTGTTTAGACCGGATACACAACCAGGAATATCCTGTGTATGCCCATCTGTATCCGAGGATGTGTAATTGGTGTAGTTCAAATGATAAACAAGAAATCTGGATCCGTTCAGTTCACCCAGGTAATTTTAGAACCAGAGATATCCTCATATTATTATATTTTAGAACCAGAGATGTCATCATATTATTATATTTTAGAACCAGAGATATCATCATATTATTATATCAAATATTCATTTAATATATGAATTTGTAATCTCTGTTTGTTTGAATGTCTGGTCATAACTTTTGAACCCCGTTAAGCCGATTTGCCTCAAACTTTGATCGGAGAGCACGATAGAACCACGGGAATGTTCTTGGCTTGGTTTTTAATTTTATAAGTTGATTAAGTTGATTAAGTTGACTTTTGAAGAGACAAAATAGTTTTAAGGCAAAGCTGGGTTTTTTGATAGTTTAACATATAATGTCTTTAATTGTTCATTCATATACAGGGTTACCCACTTAGGATGAGACTCTAAAGACGACTGTCTTTTAATAGCTTATTTAATGGTTTGGCAGAGAAAGAATGAAGTTTATAGTTGCAGGGATTATGAATGTGTAAGGCATAAATTAATAAAAATAACAGATATGACCCTAGATGTCGTCTTTTCAAGAGTCATGTGTATTACGTTTACAATAACCCTGGCGCAGCAGCCCAAAGGAGTTACACATTGTCGGCGTAGAACAGACTCAGGGTTGTTGTGAACGTAACACACAGGAATCTTGAAAAGACGACATCTAGTGTCCTATCTGTTATTTTAATTCATCTATGGTATAAGATAACAGTTAGTGTAAGTTCCATACAGTTATCTATGAAGTTTCATTCTTTATGGGTAACCCTGTGTTTACCATATAAAAACGATAAGAGAAAAAGATTAAAAAATTCTAACGAGACGCCATTTTGATTCTTGTTTTATTTGAAGGAAGACGAAGAATCTTTTAAAACCTTTGCTGTGTATTGTGGATTAGCTCTGCATCACGCTAAACTTTATGATAAAATTAGAAGATCAGAGCAAAAATATAAAGTAAGTAATTCATAATTTTATTTTACGAGAAACATGCAAACCTATTTTTTTCTTGTAACATGTTTAACCATCTCTTTTAAAGAGACTGTAAGCCATAATATCAAAGCATACAAAAATTCCAATTCCAGATTCACGATGGCCTTAAAACCTTTTAACATTTAATTTAAAGAAAACATCTTTGTGACGAGTGTTCATTTTTTTGGCGCTCCTTGGATAACTATATGTAGTCACAAAATTATTAAAAATCCGTGAGTTAAATTGTTACAAAATATAATGACAAAGCAAGTTTTTTATACAAATTTCAATTTATCCTATAAATAGCAATATTCAACAAATCAATGAATTCATTTATTTTATTTTGATACTCTATGTTGGTCACAATTTCTGTAAAAACTTTTGTTTTCAGGTCGCTTTGGAGGTTCTCTCCTACCACAATGCAGCCTCCATTGACGAGGTTGAGGATATCCTTCAAGAAGGAGTTCCGGAGAAAACAGGACATGAGGATATTTCTTCGTGAGTTGTTTTGTTTTTATTTAAACATATTCCCATTTCTCATAGAATTCAGTCTGAGGTTAAAGAAAACAGACCAAATTAACAAATAAGCTGTTTTACAGACTGAAGTTGACGTGACCTGTATTTAAAGATTTTCAACAGTACCCTTGTCTAGGCTAAAATTAAAGAGATAACCTTGTTTTTCTAACCTAAAACTGATCATTCTGCGGTTTTGTATACAATTGATTTTTTTAGCCGAAACAGGGAACGATCTTTTCGTTTTTAAAATGAGATTTAAAGGTATCTGAGCTGAAAACTTTAGAATGAGATATCCTTAATCCCGACCCGCTTAATTAATCTGGAGATTAATACCAAGTGGAGATAAAGAAATAGAGTCAATTAAGCATTAATCCCGATATCACCATTCAAAAGTTCCCAGCTCTGAACAGATTAAAGATGAAATGGCAATAATGTCTAAATGGCTTAAACCGTTTAAGTGGATAATAAAGTGTGAGCAAAAATTTCATTAAATATATTTTGGATTGTTAAAATGCATTGTTGCTATAGACCCTAAACGTTTAAACGAAAACATATCATGGTTTTAGATAATTCCTAAAACTTAATTTTAAGTCACTTGATTTTAAGGGTGAGCTAACTTTTTTTACTATAAAAGTATATATACTATAAGATAAAAAATTACATTTTTAATACAATTGCTTTCAGACAAATGTAAGTTGTAATGTTGGTAATTTAGATTTTTATTAGAAATTTTTTCGCTCAGTAGATTTTTTTTATTAGAGCAGAAATTGCACAAGTTAAACCACTAAGGGGTATTTTAGAAGATTTGTAGCTATTTTTCCGAGCCAAGGCACCACTAGGTCAGGGGGGGAGTTTAGCTTGTTGTGAAAAAAAATTTTACAATTCGCCTCATTTTACATGATTAATTTTGGATTTAGTTAATTGTCACATTTGGTTTAATTAACACTTTATAGTTAAAGATGCATAATGCATATAATTTAGAATTGTACAATATAAATATTCATAGAAAATCACACTGTAATCGATCTATTTGACCAGAGGTTGGCCCGGTATTTCAAATGAACTTGAGTTCCCAGTTAATTGCTTTTTAAAAAGCTTAAATTCCCAAAATAACACAAAATTGAAATTTATGAATAGCTGGATTAAATTTATATAGAGATTTTTAAAAGCTTAAATGCCGTAGATATTCTAAAAATAGAAGAAAAACCTAAAATAATTATAATTCTGTTTCTTTTGATTAGATTCACCTACTACGCTACTGGTTTGGATGATATGATGAAAGTTCGAAAATCTCTGTTTATGTTTGTTGATCTCTTTGGAGTGGATCGGTTTGAATACGAAACATTGGTGAGTTCTTAATAAACCAAAACTTGATTTCTATTTTGAATTTTGAAAATAAAATTTTTAAAAATGCAGCTGTACAATCTAAATATTTTATATTTTTTTCGATGAGATGTTCACTTGAAATCAAACAGAAATAAGGAATTAAATATTTTTCACAAATTAGAATTTTCAAATCTCCATATTTATTAAATGTGATGATTATTTGATCTAACAGAATTTATTATTTGAAATATCATTGGGCTGCAAAGATATAAGGATTGGAAAATCAGAGTTTGTGGCAAAAACTCCATTCCTTTAAACTTCAAACCAAACATATGGGACAAGGTTAAAATGTAGAAATGTGAGAGCTCGTAACAACTCTAAATTTGATTTTACGCCAAAAATCGAGAAAAGTGAACCTGTCTAGTTGCATATAAGGAATAACAAACATTTATTGTGTCAATACTTGTTCAAAACAAAGAGGTGTGCATGGAAACGTTCAAGATTTTAATCTAAAATGAAATGATTACTTGCTTTAACCTCAAATTTGTTGGTTATTTCAAACTTTGATCATTTAATCTTCCAAAATTAAAAGATTGATATATCACAATTCTGTAACATCAGGTTGCAAAGAAGGATTAGAAAACTAAAGGAGAGTACATAGTTCCTTAACCCTATCTCTGCTGGGGGGGGGTCAATTTGACCTCCCCCCCCATCTAAATCCCATGTTTGATGTCCAAATATGACAAATGATACATCATTGGAAAGCTCTTGTGCTCTACTTTTAGAATCTGCAAAAAAATTTGCAAATTTGCAAAAATTGAATTTTTTATCGCAAAATCCAAAGTATCTACAGTATACTCAAGGCTTCACCAGGCATATTCAAACCTTTAGAGGTAAAATATATCTCAACAAATAATGATTAATAATAATAATAAACTATTATATAAAATAGTTGAACAGCTTTTTATGGATTGCACCCATTTTAAGATTATATATTAAATATTATTTTATATCAACATAGTTACCCACAAATAATGAGAGGTCGCTGGAGGACTTTAAGAATGTATACTTTCACTTTTCTTATATTCATGATTCCCTGCAAATGTAACCTTGTTTCTTCTATTTACAAATCAGTAAATAAGTCCGTAAAAGACTTTATTCAATTTAAATTTGGAATCGTCATATCTATAGAGTTTCAGGCCGGTCATCTCTACTCTCTACAGTCTCATCCCTTGTTTGAAACTCTGTTTTATCTATATCATCTACGTCTTAATATATATCTTATATATCTACATCAATATAACTGTATCTATATCGTTGTCAATATTTACATATTTTTGTAATCATTTCATATTTAAAAAAAATATATTTATTCAGATATGATAATCAAGAAACAACATTTTTTGGCAAAAACTTTGGATTCTTTTGATTTAGGTTATTTTTATTTAATCAATATCTATATTTATATCTATATCTACTATCTATATCTGTAATTATATATATATCTGTAATTATATCTATATCTATATCTAAATATGTGCAGTGCTTGGCAATGTTTATTGGGGCAATCTGCCACGATTTGGATCACAGGGAATATACGCAGTGATTAATAATAATTACTTTATACTTCCCTTTTCCTCAATGATAATAATCAAAAAGATTATCAAGTACAATAGTTGACAACAGAGATATGGACCAATTATAGACCAAGTCACAAGTGTCAAATATAACAACACAAACGAAATTTTCTCACATTAATTGACCGGTTTACCAAGATAATATAAAAAAGTGTAAATACAGGAAATAAAGAACACATAAAATTGCACTTATTTCACCGTAAGATAAACACTTTATTCTAAAATCATCACTATGACTAATAATTGTGTCGGACACAAAAACTGAATTGACACTTGTGACGTCAGAATACAACTATACTGAGAGTGTACAAATACTACGTTGCCATCTATTGTACTAGAATCTATTTGAACATAATTAAATTTGTTATTCATGTTTTTCTTGGTTTCAATAATTACATGAAACTCTACTTTTTTTACTTTTTTCGCAACGTATAACCTTAAATTTTTTAAACAATCAAACAATAAATTATGCTTGGTCAATTATGGAATTTAAAAGAGTTTAATCATCAGGGACTAAATTTAAAGAAGGTTTTTAAAATTTAGAGATAATTTCTCGCTATTCATAAAATATGGTCCATAGTTGCAAATAAAACAAATTTCAAAAAAAAACATTTACATAAAAAATTCTGTAAGTGTTTAGGTCATTTTGACAGGACTGGACAATAAGCTATTATATCACAACAAATTATACCCTAAACAGAGTTCTTCTACATTCAATAATATTTCTAAAAATGATTTTAGCGATAAAAATTGATGCAAAGAAATGTGTAAATGGTTAATAAAGAAATATTTTTAATCGACTTCCCAAGGTTTTCATTTGCACTTATTGCACTGAACATAAATTTAGAACAAAATTCCAGTCACTGGTAAGGAAAAAAATATTCATTTACCTGACCATTATATGCTTTATTAGATTAGATACTACGAATATATATTAGAGGGTTCAATAACAAGTTTATGATTGATATCGGATCTCCCCTGGCGGCCATATATTCTACCTCTACAATGGAACATCATCATTTCAATATGGCGATTAATATTCTACAGCAGGTCAGTAAACCGCAATTATATTTTAATATGGCGATTAATATTTTACAGCAGGTCAGTAAACAGCAATTATATTTCAATATGGCGATTAATACTATACAGCAGGTCAGTAAACTGCAATTATTCATTTAAAGAGACCGTTAATATAATTTCAAGTTAATTTTTTCTTTTTTTAAAGTTTCCCAATCAACCCTCTAAATAATTGTTAGGCAAAAATGAAATTCTTTCTAACGTCTATAAGAAGGGATATAAACTGCAAAACTTGCTCTAGCTGCAGGTAGTCAGGCTGGTGCTCTAGCTGCAGGTAGTCAGGCTGGTGCTCTAGCTGCAGGTAGTCAGGCTGGTGCTCTAGCTGCAGGTAGTCAGGCTGGTGCTTCAAGTAAAGCTGGTTTAGTCTTGAAATGAAACCCTGCCTGCAGATATTGCTTTTTTTGCATTTTTTCTTTGGTATTGAGATGATGAAGAAGAACATTTATATTTTATGTTGTAAAATATGTTGTTCGCTTGTATACCAATATACAGTTTTATGCACTGTACACTTTTCCATGTAGCAGTGCAGAAAATTAATTCTATTAAAAAATGCGTAATGAGAGAAGGAAACATATTTGAAACTTATTGTACCGGGTTTTATTGATTGAAACCACTTCTAAGGAAGAATTTAAATCTTCTTTCAAGGTTACAACTCACAATGAGATCTATCATATTTTCTACCCTTTTGTCAGATGTTTCAACCAAGTTAGTTTTTTTTATAACACAATTAAAAATAATACTTAGAAATAATTATCAAAATTGGAATTTTTTATTATTTTAGGAACATCATAACATATTTGCTAGACTCAACCCAGATGAGTACAAACAGGTAAATTTGATTAAATTGGAAATATGGGGGGGGGGGGGAGCGGGGGGTAAATTTTTAAATTTCAAGGACTAATTCAAAACTGAGTTATCAAACTGGCAGAGTGTATTTAGTTTGACTAGAAAATGAAATTTTAATAACTTTTGTTTTCATTTGTTTCTGAAAAACTAATGGCCAGGTATTTTACTGTTAATTTATGCTTACAGTGATGTGCACACTACACAGTACAGTTTTGAGCGGGAAAAAACATTTTAACAAATCAGCTTTAAAATTGTATACAAAAATGCTGAGTAAGTATGCTATTGCTAGTATATTGCATTGTATCATTGTCCTTATTTAATCTTATCCTTTTTTAATCCTACAGAAAACTTTAGAATGTGAAGACGATAATAAAGCAATGCTGAAGTGCATTTGATGTTGTTACAGCGCAAAAAGCTTTACTAATAACTTATTAATTGAAATGGGTCTTGTTAAGGTGCACAATTGCTGTGCCTCATGTTCATTGGATTATTAAAGCCATGAATTGAATCTAAAAGTCGACTTCCTCTTCCAGAGTTTTCTGGTTATCACTGTATCTTATTTCAAGGTGTTGGGAAACATGAAGCACTGCATCCTGGCGACAGACCTTGCCTTGTTCTTCCCGAACAAGGCGAGGTTGTCAAACATTGTGAAGGAGAATAGTTTTAACTGGGATTTACCAGACCACAGGTACAGTATATTACAGTACAGTATAGTAAAGTACGACATATTCCAGACCACAGGTACAGTATATTACAGTACAGTACAGTACAGTAAAATACAACATATGCCAAACCACAAATACAGTATATTACAGTACAGTACAGTAAAGTACAACATATGCCAGACCACAGGTACAATAAAAAATTCCAAAATATACCTTACAGCTGCAGGCTAAGTACAGTATAGGATATACCGGATTACAGTACAATGCACACGTGCAGTGTAATACAGTACAGTATAAGTTATACCAGACCACAGATACAGTGCAGTACAAGATATACCGAATCACAAGTAAAGTTCCGTTCAATACGGTACAAGATATACCTTACCACAGGTAAAGTACAGTACAGAAAAGTACAAGAAATACCAGACCACAAGTAGAGTATAGTACAGTACAAGATATACCAGACCACATGGTATAGTTCAGTGTAGTACATGATATACTAAACCACAGGTAAAGTACATCAAATCTAGTACAAATTTACCTAACCCAAAGGTAGAGTACAGTACAGCACAATATATACTCTACCACAGGTAGAGTACAGTACAGTACAAGATATACCTTACCACAGGTACAACACATTGAAAGATACAACAGATTAGAGTATATCTTGTACAAAATATAGTTTTAGAAGTTAACTTGAGAAACATATTTCTTAGTTATTAACTATGTTTAAGGCTGCTAGCTCAAGCTCTATGTATGACAGGAAGTGACCTAAATTCTTCAGCTAAACCCTGGGATACTCAGTTTAGAACTTCTAAAGTTGTCTACGCTGAGTTTCATGAACAAGTATATATATATATATACACAAACAAATATTTAGTTTTATACAGACACGAATCAACATTTTGTCCATTTCTAGTATTTTCTCACTTCAGTAAATTTTCTTCTCTCACTTATTTAGATCATGCATATCTATAAAGTTTTATAAAACAGATTTTATCATTTCAAACATGAGGATATTTAGTATAAACCATGCTTTTTGGGTTAGTTGCAGTTTATCCTATAACAACATTTACGAATTTTATTCGAATTTGTTTAAAGAATCATTGCATTGCATTAAAATGAAAAATTGTGTTATTCCAACGTTTATATCTTTTTTAAAATAGCATCAAGAAAGATTATTTAAAATTAAAATGTAAAAATATAGATAAGACAGTTTTAAAGAAACGCTTAGAAACTGAAAATAGAATATTCCCAGAAAAAAATTGTTAAGAAACCCCATTTTGTCAAACAAGAGAAAAATACTTAAGCTTCTTAATTATAGGATAGGACATTTATCATAAATGAGTTTAACCACAGGTCAAATTTTTAATCCCTAGATAAAAAAAATTACTAGAATTTGAGAAGAATAATGACAACATTTATAATTCCTCCGACATAAAGAGCATTACTAGAATTTGAGAAGAATAATGACAACATTTATAAATCCTCCGATATAAAGAGAATTACCAGAATTTGAGAAGAATAATGACAACATTTATAAATCCTCCGACATAAAGAGCATTAATAGAATTTGAGAAGAATAATGACAACATTTTTAATTCCTCCGACATAAAGAGAATTACTAGAATTTGAGAATAATAATGACAACATTTATAAATCCTCCGATATAAAGAGCATTACTAGAATTTGAGAAGAATAATGACAATATTTATAATTCCTCCGATATAAAGAGCATTACTAGAATATTAGAAGAAAAATGACAACATTTACAATTCTTCCGACATATAAAGAGCATTACTAGAATTTAAGAATAATGACAACATTTATAATTCCTCCGACATAAAGAGCATTACTAGATTATATTGCGATATTTTGGAAATCCAGAAGAGATAACTTTAAATTTAGGAATCTATCGCTCATCTCTAGAATATAAAAGTTGTCACAGTTAATATCTGGATCATCGATGTTTAATTGTATCCTGTATTAAATTGATTTCCCAGATTACTGGCTCAAGCAATGTGTTTGACCGGAGCTGATCTAAGTTCTGCTGCTAAACCCTGGAAGATCCAGTTCAACACAACTAGTGTTGTCTACGCCGAGTTCTATGATCAAGTAGACAAAAATCCGCAATTTGTGTTTACCATATTCTTACAGTTTGGAAGATTTATCAAGTTTTCAGGATTTGAAAAGAATATGGTTAATATCGGTGTATTAAATCAATGTTTTTAACAAAATGGTGAATTTTTGGACAATTTTGCCAATGACGAAAGCACATATATTAAAAACTCCTTGTTTGGATAAAATATTTTATAAATAAGATGAATCTGCACTAAATAATTAGCTAACCTCACCTCTAAAAAAACCTGCTTAAAGTGTAATTTTCTGTTAACAAAACATTATCAAATCCCATTAAAACCGAAACAATCTTTTATATTCATTATAGTGCTTTAAAAGAACCTAGAAATATTACACTTTTAACAGGGATAGATTATACATAAAAGACCAAGATATGACGTATCATTATAGTTCTGGAATTCTTTTACTAATGCCAGAGTTGATAATACGGAATTCAGAACATTTGAAAATGTAAAAGTTTATTGAAAGCAATTGAGTCTTTGCCACAAAATAAAATTTTCTAATCGCAATATTTTTGCAAATTTAAAGTGTAACCCTTTGATATTTAAAACTTAGATTATTTGATTTAACAAAAATTTTAGCTTGAAATATCTAAGGTATACGACATTGGATTGCAAGGATATAGGGGTTCGAAAATTGGAGTTTGTAGCAAAGATTCAATATCTTTAAAAATAATAAAAAAATTCTTTTCTTATAAGAAAAATTACAAAAGTTCCCAAAACTAACAATTATGACGTAACGTCTTTTCTGTATAGTCTATGAATTAAAAGTAGTTAAACCTGCACCCTCTGTTTTTAGATTACTGATTGAATCTATGATGATGACCGGAAGTGATTTGTGCGCAAACGCGAAACCCTGGGATCCAATGGTGGAGACAGTGGCAGTTATCTATGAAGAGTTTTATATCCAGGTAGCAAGGTTGGCGTCAAAACTGTTTTATAAGAGAAACTGATGAACGTTTCTTAAAAGAGTTCAAGGTCAAGAAAGCGGTACATTTAATGTGAGTGCAGAGCAAGATCACATAATATTGGGATTAATTTAATATTTTTTTTTATCTTTCCATTTTTCAAATTTGTTTATAGTAAATAAAGCTTTTTTAAATAAGGGAATTAACTACAAAAAATACATCAACACTCTAATTCACTGATGCAATAAACTACATAAATTAAAAAAACATTAAACTAGCGGTCTATTTGCAAAATTTAAATATTCCTGTCACGTGACATTGCATTTCATTAATTTTATAAAAATCAGGGAGATTATGAAAGGGAATCTGGGAGGTCCCCTGTCCCTATCATGAATAGGAGCTTTGAGGACCAACAAGCTATTCATCAGGTACACAGCAGACAGGGATAGGGATCAGGATCTCAGATAGAAATTAATGAATAAAGAGAATTGTTGTAAAACTAGGGAGGGATATTTGAACTACTTCCCGTTATTATTGGGTGTGTCTAATGTCTATACTGAATTAAAGGGAGAGCTCATAAATTTCATCAGGATCTGTGCTGTTTAAATTTAACCGGATGATTTGTTAAGAAAAATCTTGTCAAAAACAGTAAAATAAACTTCATATGATACAAAATATATTGCGCAGAAGTCATCTCAGAAAAAAATAAATTTAGTCTCAAATATAAAAATGTCCTATAACAATTCTAAAATTCATTAAACACTTTCTCTAATAGTTAAAGTTATTTTGCAGACTTGATAGGCTTGAATTCAGGCATGATAAACCTATTTTTCTAATATATAAAAAAAACAGAAAACAGTAAGTATAGTCTTTGGCTTTAAATCTCTCATCAAACACTCGCAAGGTACGACATTCTATTATTAGATTGTAATAAGCAAAACTAATACGAGTTTTAAAACTATTTGAACTAATCAAAGCAGTAAATTTCGGCGCTTTTTAAAACTCGTTTCTTTAATAAGCATGCTTTGTAGAAGATAGTTAAATGTATTGTAATGTATCTATGTACTAAATAAGCAATAGCTTTGCATGACAAAAACAATTACAGTACAATCTATATAGGCGTTACAGTAACATTTTTAGATATTATATCTTAATTGTTCTTATAATTTAGTTTTCAAATAATTACTGTAGGGTTTTTATTATTATAGTTTAAAATATCTAAAGTTTACGACATTGGGTTTCAAAGATATAGGGATTCGAAAATCAGAGTTTGTGGCAAAGACTCAATTCATTTTAATATTGTTTTTAGTTCAAAACATTTTTCCATTTTGAAATGATAGGGGTTAGAAAATCAGAGTTTGTGATAAAAACTTTGCATCCCTTTAACATTGATGATATGTGATTGTATTTTCAAAATACTTTCAATAAGTTTGATATAAAGAACAAAACGTTTGAATATTGTCCAACAATGTACTGCTATGTTGTACTGCTGTTGTACTGTTGTACTACTGTTGTGTTCCAGGGTGATGTAGAAAAGTCTCTGGGCTGGAAACCTATACCCCTGTTTGACAGGGAGAACTACGCAGAAATTGCGTCAATGCAGGTGATATACCGTTTAAGCAAAAGTTGCGTCAAAGCGTTTAGATGCTTACAAGGGTTGGTTTATAGCGCACAAGTGTCAAATAATGCATTGTATGAGAAACCGACCTGCAAAAGATTAAACTGCAAGATAAGTAAGGAAAGGTTAAATAAACAGTGCGCTGACATCTTAATTTAAAACCCAACTTGTTAATTTTTTTCTTTCAAAGGAATTGAGTCTTTGCCACAAACTCTGATTTTATAATCCCTTTATCTTTGGAATCCAATGTCGTAAATCTTTGATATTTCAAACTTATATTATTTGATCTAAAAGGATTCATAGTTTGAAATATCTAAGGTCTACGACATTGGAATCCAAAGATATAGGATTTAGAAAAGCAGAGTTTGTGGCAACGACTCAATTCCAAACAAAATTTGTTGTTATCATTTATTATATTAAAAACACAAGCGTTAAAACAAACCTGACAAACAATATTTGACAGTTGCTGGTTGCTTAAGAGAAATATTACCTTTATAAACCATCCTTGTAAGCTCTTTTATAAGCTGTTTTAAATACATTATTAAGCATACTTTAAAATTCTAGTTAGTTTTGCATTAATCATGATTGTCGTCGAAGAAACAAATTAACAGGAGAACCGGTTTTTCAATCTGAAAATTAATAATTGAATTTTTTTTCCTTTATTTGTCATAATTAAACATGAATAGAAAATGTCGATGATCATCCCCATTGTCCCCCATTCAGCTTTCAGTTTGTAGGGGGTGCACTCAAAATTATGTTGACATGAACCTTTAAGGTTGGGGGGTTTTATAGACATATATTAAGTTTTTAAAGTTTTGATAAATTCGTTGTTCAAAAGGAAGCTTTAGACCAATTATCCAAAATAAGAAAAATCAAATAAGTTTAATTTCCAAAAATCTACATGGGACGCCCATCACATTGACCTAAACATACTTTTTTGTTAATCTTAAAGGGCCTGTCCTTGTATTTCAAGTTACCCTCAGTATAAAATGGCATGCCCGATTTTTAAAATTACCCTTTACTCCTGTATTTGAGCATTAATATAGTTAAGTTACCGCCGTTTTCTTGCATAAGCAAGTTTTAATAGAAAACCAACATTGAAAATAATTAAATTTTCAAAAGAGAAGCGTGGATATCTCATTTATTCTCGATCAGACCCTAACCTAACCTAACCTAACTTTTAAGGGTAGTCTTGTGAATCAACAATTCACATACTATGTAGGGTTACATTAAATTGTTTAAACATTCCCTTCAAACTCGAAAATCAAACGATCAACGTATGACTTATATCCTTAATCTTAGTGTTTTTGCACGTTTTTGCCCAAAAAACAACAATCAAACTAATATGGTTCCCTTCAGATATTCTTTTTTCATCCTGGATATCTATGTTGCATGGTTTTGTGTAATGTCCTGTCTCGTTACTTTATGTAGCATGGCTTTTGCTGTATAATTTCTTGTTGTTTACAAATGAACTTTTTTTGATTTGATCCCACTAAACCCTGTACTACAGTATGTTGATCCCACTAAACCCTGTACTACAGTATGTTGATCACACTAAACCCTGTACTACAGTATGTTGATCTTTACTGTAAATTTCAATAATGTCTCTTTTCCGGCGATATTTATGATGTTAACGGCAGTTCATCGAAAACAAATAATTTTTGCAAAAAAACCCAAAAACCACCATTTTCATTAGTATGAACTAAAGTGTAACATAAAGTAAAAATATTTTACAAGAGATGGGGGACAAGTTATGTTATATTAACATACAGGGTTACCCACAAAGGATATGACTCTAAAGACAACCGGAAACTATTAAAATATGACAATTCTAAGGTGTTATATTAACTTTTTGCCTTAACAATAGTATTTCAATGGCTTTTAAATGATTTGACAAAGAGAGAAACAAGTTTACAATTGCAGAGAATCTTAAATATAGGAAACAGACGATATGAATTCAGTCGTCTCTGAAGTCTCATTCTTTGTGGGTAACCCTGTATCTAGGTGCTAATTTTTTATAATTTAATTTAAGATTAGATTTTAAATCTTTGCAAAAAGTTTGCTTATACTCTCTTATCCCCCGGAGCTTACTGTAACAGTTTTAACTACTAACCAAGGTTGTTTATTAAGGTTAGAAACTTTGGATGCACTCCAATATACGGAAAATGTCGTCTTTATATCAATGGACACTGACAGCTGACAAGCGAAGATCCCCCGCTGGTGCNCCCCTCTCTCACCAACAACGTTGTCACTTCATCCTCCGCCAATATTCAGTTACGTCACATGAGGATTTTGAGTTTCCATTGCATGTAAAGACGACATTTTTCGTACATTGGGTGCACATCCAGAGTGTCTAACCTTAATAAACAACCTTGCTACACTATCCCATAACAGGCTGGGTTTATAATGGGAATCTGTTTACCCTGCTACGAGCTAGTTGTACAGTTTCTACCTTCTGTACAACCTATGCTGGACGGATGCAAGAACAATCTAGAACTTTGGAAGGAGCTAAAGCTCCAGAGAGAGAAGGAGAAAGAAGAGGAGGAGAAGGAGAATGTGTAAATGTTAAATGTTGTTATACTGCACCAATGTTTTGTCCATTACGTAGATTCCACAGGTCAGTCAACTCTGATCTATACTCAGCGATCACTTTACCGTGTACAAACTGTACACTGGTACCCGTACATAGTACAGGAAGACTAAATAGATGGATTTAGAAATGTTAAAATTGCATTAGGATAGGAATTGAATAATTAGATGTAGAAAAATATTTTAAACCTCCGAATATTTTAAATAATAACAGAATAAAAAGATATCAGAGGTTCAGCTTAGCTCCTATACCTACGCAATTCAAACATTTCTATCTGTTTATCTGTGAAAGGTAGGTTGTATATGATGAACAGTGCAGATTCTGCTGTATTTAAAATGGCAGAGCTAATTACAAATGTTTTAAAATTAGTCTCATTCATAAAACGCAATATCTTTTAACTAATGATTTTCTTTGGTCAAATACGAAATTGTATAACCAAAGAATATGAGAAAATGAGTTTAAAACGTGTAAATTAATCTAAATTAGAAAAAAGTTTCTATGCATTCAAAGGCTTACTCCGTAGTAACTATAAACACTTCTCTTCGGTTGATGTATGACATACACTAACAATTATGTAAAATATCAATTTACTCTATAGTAACTATAAACACTTCTCTTCGGTTGATGTATGACATAAACTAACAATTATGTAAAATATCAATTCACGAAAGAAAACATTTATTTAACAAGTTATAAATATATATCTAACTAACAACAACAATACTCTATCTTTTCAAGATATTAAAATCTATATATATAAATATCACCCACTGGGAATGGTATTTTTTAATAATATAGATTTAGTCTTTTTGTATTTTGAAGACGTACTTTTGCATTATTAATTCACGCAAATCTGCCTCTTTAGTAAAAATAAATTCAACCTATATGAAGCATAAAGCATAAAGTTGTACCGGTTAGTCCTGTCCATAGAGCTAGGTACAGTACAAACTGGGACCGGAAAGATTGACCCGACTCGGAAATTCAAATGTACTTATACGGCTGCCCGTATATTTTGATCACTGATTTAGAGTTCAAAAATGTTTAAAAATTAGCTGTTCTCGAAAAGTCCTAAAAATCTTTACAATATTGTTTTTAAATAAATATAATTAAAGTGATTTTGTTGATTTAGGTCGGGTTTATTGGTGGTATTTGCTTGCCCTGTTATGATCTACTCTCTAAGGTAAAAATATCACACTTATTCAAATTGTGTTTTTACCAATATATCTTTTTATATATATCTTTGCAATAAGAGTAAGATATTTATTACAATTTGTTGTCATTTTTATGATTTTGGGCAGCATTGCATATTATATTGTATTTGTTCATTTGTAAGTTAAAATGAATGTGCCAAGGCGCGGCTCCTGCTGAAAATCTTAATTATTGTTTTCCATCAAGGTGCACAATAAAACTGGTTTCTATTATAATTTAAAAAACTATTATCTTACTTGTAATGTTCATTGTAGATTATTAAATTTTATTGATTTTTAAATATCCGATTAAATTCTTAATCGAAGAAGATTAGAACAGCAAGGATACTAGATTTATTGTAAACAATAATCATTTATCAAAAATGTAATTGATCAGGCCCGGCCCTCCTGCACAGAAAATCAGACGATTGCATGTTTACAATCTTTGTTGTTGTTTATAGTAAAACCAGTTTCTGAGCCATCCTTAAACATGACAGTAAAATGTGAACAGTCTCTTTAAGTAAATCACAAGACACGATTAGTTGATATATTACAACTAAACTGATCGATTCTTAATCGATTTTTAAAAATAGCTCAATTGATCTTTACTGTTCAGGTGATCCCCTCAGTAACCCCTATCAGGGATCAATGTGAAGAGAACCTCAGCACATGGAAGCGTCTAGCTGAGGAGAGGAAGGAAGAGAAGGAGACTACGGGGGAGAAGGATGAGAAGGAAGAATAAGGAAAAGGAGAAGAGAAGAGAAGGAAGTTTAAGGATAAGGAAAGAGGAGAGGAGAAGAGCGGAGAAAAATAAGTATGAGATAATGGGCGATAGAAAAAGGAAAAATAGGTGAGAAGGAGAAGGAAGAAGAAGAAGAATATAAGGGTTGAGAAGGATAAGAGTATGAGGATAGAAGGCGGAGAAACAGAAGGGAATAAAGGGGGAAAAAAGTGGGAAAGGACTAAGGAGGACAAAGATAAAATAGAGGAGAATATAATGAGGGAGAAGGAGGAGATATCCAGAGAGAGAAGGAGAAGGACTTGAAGGAAAGGAAAATAATTGGGGAAAAGAAAGAGAGGGGGAAAATAAAAAGATTAAATATTTTAAATAATTTAAAATGTAAAAAGATCAAATGCGTTGAACGTTAGGTATTATTCTCGACATGAGAGAAACTTATTGTTGTTTATTGGGAAAATTTAACTGTACGTAATTTTTAAAAATGGAATGCATTAGTTAAAAAAACTATATAAATGGCAAATAGCAAACCACCTCAAACCTTCATCAACTTGGACTAATTCATAACAATACAAGTAAGAGTGAAACTATTTAGCACTTTTTTTTAAAACTTATTCGGATTTTTGCTTTTTTGTAAAAATCAAATTATGAATGTAAATGCACGTATTTTTTCATAATAGATCTTGATGGCTAACAAATATCCGTCTTGAAACACTGAGTTCAGAAACGCTAAATTTGAAAAAATCCCATGAAAATAAAGAAAATAATAAGCAAAAAAAACATTTTTTTTTGGAAAGATATTTGTCAGAGAATCGAAAAAAAAACAAGTTTTTTTTAGCCTGAAATAAAATATTTTTTGAAATTTTGAGAAACGGACAAATGAGCGGTATTTAGCGGTTCAAGACACATCTTCAGATATCAATATCAAAATGTTTTGAAAAAATGGAAAAATCGACCTTTCCTGATGACCGCTGCTTTTTTAATCATTAATCATTAAATAAGTTTTTATTTTTCAATTTTTTTCTTTAACTAATGTTGCTTCTAATTTGCTATTGTATGATGTGTTGCGGGTGCAAAAAGGATTTGACATTTTCGGTAAAATAATTTCACCTTTCATATAACTGATAAATTTTTCAGATATGCTTTTTAAACCATATTTCAGTTCATTTTTACGATAAACCAAATCAATTTGAGTGATTGAATATTGTAATATTGTTAAATCGTTATGGAAGGAATAGTTTAGTACCATATAGAAAGAAATTGTTCAGTGTTGTAAAATACCTCAAATACCAGAATGTTAGAGAAAATAAAAAAATTCAAATTTTTCAAATTCAACCTTTTTCTGATGAGTCATTATTATGTGTGCATATTTACTATTAATATTATTTATGAAAAATGACCTAACTGAGTCCACCGTGGTGACTTTAAAGCTCTGTTTTTCAAAAGATTGCATTTATTATCAAATAAAATTTAGTTTTTATAGGATTTTTAAATTAGTTATTGCAATTCGAAAAGGCAATATTTAGTTAAAAGGGAGTGACCGGCCATGTAAGGTAGTTTAAACAAAACTAATTCTGAAAACGTATCCACCCCCAAAGTAGGAGTTTTGAACGCCGAATTTGCGCTCAAACTTAGGATTTGCAGATCTTAAAAAATTAAAAAGTTTTATATGTCTCAAATGAATCCGAAAGAAGTTTTCCACAACACTGCATATTCAGTTCAACTACCTTTCATAGCCGGTCACCCCCTTTAAAATTTTGTTATCATACACATTTCATTTGAAAAGTGTTAAATAAAATTTTTTTGATGCAGATATTTTTGATTTTTTTGTAAGTTCGAGTATCAAAACTTTTTGCGAAAAAAAATATAAAGAAAGAAAAGTATTTCCGTCTGGCCTTGGAGTAACTTTTTAATAAGACTTTTTAAAATCTAAGTATGTCAGGATTGTTTTAATCAAATTCATTAAAAATCTGAACAATGTAAAATAGAAACAAAGTTTATTTCACATAACCAGAATAAAGCCGATTAAATCATAATAAGCAAATAATGTGAAAGTCGTCTTTGTTAAATCGTTTAAATTGTAACGTTGCTAAAAATTTAGTAATTTGTAACTATTATGATTGCATAGTTGATATATCACCAAAATATACTAATTAAGAACTAATCATTATAGTTACAATTTTAACTTAGTATTACAATAAGAAAATCCTACACGACCTTTCAAATAAACAAAAAATTCGAATAACGGTTTAATCTGTTTTAAATAATTATTCATTTAAAATCAAAATATTAAAACGCATATGCTAACCAACAAGTTTTTAAAATTACATTCATAGAGAATAGAATATATATTAGAGGGGAATTTAGAGAATCTCTCGGTATGAATTTTTTCAGTCCCTTTCAGCCTGAAAGGGACTTGAGTTCAAAGTGTACAAATCATGTAAATGTTCACAAATTATATGCAGTAGAGTACATTAATACAGTATGTTCCCTAGACTATTCATTTCAATTTCGAAATTTTTAAAGCTGTTAAATAAACTTTATAATGAATAAATTGATAAAATTAATTGATTTATAATTATAACGGAAAATCATCGTTTGTAAAGTGGAAGGCATAGAGTCTGTGAAATGATCACTGGTCAATTATGAAACCAGCCTATTTCATAATTTGGTTTTCTTTTAACATTAATTTTAGATTTTCTATAAAATGATATTCCAGGGCCCAAAAGGTTATATAGCATAAATATGTGAAGTAAACCTGCAGTATGGAAACAGTACAACAAAATAGCCGTTTTACACTTTTACTAGTAAATTCCCCTCTAATATATATTCTATTCTCTTTGATTACATTGCATGTACTTAATTGATGGAATCGAACGTTCTAAGAATTCATTGTGGAACAGTAATCCAAAAAATAATGTTGTTTTGATCATTCGTACAAAACACTTAAAATATCAAAGATTCATGTTTTATAAATGTTCAAATTATTTAAATCATTTGTAAAAATAAAATTGTTTACTTGATTAAACGTAATGATGTTAATAGAATGAACCTAGTAAAACAAGCGAACTGACTCAAATTATAAAATTGTTAACTCTGATATTTAAATTGTATAAAGTGTTAAGGTATATATCTGAATATAATAAATGTATTCTATTTATGCTCAGCTGAAACAGAATCTTGAACCAAATCAAATGAAGGGAATGCTGAGAACAATTATTATATTTTACTTGAACCGGCGCACTTGCGAAGTGGGTCAACTAAGTTTACGTAGATCAACTATACCTCCCGCTATTCATTGAATATATGGTTCCTGGATATTGTTAACCTAAATCGCAACTCGCAAGCTTGTCATGTGAAATTCTTTAATGCGCAGTGTACATTTATTGGATTACACTTAACAAGGAGTTGCTGGTTTAACGAGTTCTAAGAAAATAGAGATATGTTCTACCGGACCAATTTATTATTAAACTACAGAGCTCTAGTGATCTTATGAAGCAGATTAGAGTAACTCAAGTGATGAATTGATTTTTGACACAAACTGAAAATTTCTAATCCCTATATCTTTGAAACCTGGTGGTGTAAACCTTTGATATTGCAAACTCAAACTGTTGGGGGAATCGCACGTTTATCCTAAAAAACCTATCTGCAGTATCTTGCACATTTCTTTTTAAACTAAATCCAGGAAGATGTCATTTTTAGTTCAAAAATAAAGTCGATCTGTGTCCGAAGTTAATAAATTTATGCCCCGTATTAAATCCACCAAAAACCGGTTTCAATTAAGCGCTGGCTTAAATCTTGAAAAATTTAATTCAATTTTAAGTGGAACCAAGCGTAATTGAGCTGTGGCTTAAATTTAAGCCGCGGCTAAAATTCTTTACATTCGGCCTCAGGTCTTCTAAATCAATTTAGTTTAAGAACAGTTTGAGATCAGTTTAAGAACAGTTTAAGAACAGTTTAAGAATAGTTTAAGAACAGTTTAAGAACAGTTTAAGAACAGTTTAAGAACACTTTTAGAACAGTTTTAAAACAGTTTAAGAACAGTTTAAATACAGTTTATTAACATTTTAAATATAGTTTATAAACAGTTTATGAACAGTTTAAATACAGTTTAAGAACAGTTTAAGAATAGTTTAAGAACAGTTCAAGAACTGTTATTTAACAGCTTAAGAACAGTTTAAACAGTTTAAGAATAGTTTAAGAACAGTTTAAGAACAGGTTAAGAACAGTTTAAGAACAGGTTAAGAACAGTTATTTAACAATTTAAAAACATCCTAAGAACAGTTTCAGAACAGTTTTAATACAGTTTATGACAGTATAAGGACAGATTCAGAACAGTTTAAGACCAGTTTAAGAACAGTTTAAGAACAGTTTAAAAACAGTTTAAATACAGTTTAAATACAGTTTATGAACGGTATACACGGTTTATGAACAATTTAAATACAGTTTAAGAACAGTTTAAGAACAGTTTAAGAACAATTTAAGAACGGTTTAAGAGCAGTTTGATAACAGTTTAAGAGCAGTTTAAGAACAGTTTAAGAACAGTTTAAGAACAGTTTAAGAGCAGTTTTAGAACAGTTTAAGAACAGTTTAAGAACAGTTTAAGAACAGTTTAAAAACAGTTTAAAAACAGTTTAAAAACAGTTTATAAACAGTTTATGAACAGTTTAAATACAAGTTTCATAATAGTTTAAGAACAGTTAAAAAACCGTTATTTACCAGCTTAAGAACAGTTTAAGAATAGTTTAAGAATAGTTTAAGAACAGGCTAAGAACAGTTATTCAATTAAAGAACAGTTTACGAACAGTTTAAGAACGGTATGAAAACAGATTAAATACAGTTTATTAACAGTTTATGAACACTTTAAATACAGTTTAAGACCATGTTAAGAACAGTTTAAGAATAGTCTAAGAACAGGTTAAGAACAGTTTAAGAACAGGACGAGAATTCAAACAAAACAAATTCCTAAAGTGCTGCCGAACAACCCGTGTATTTACAGCTAGCTCTCAAATTTGAAATTCTTTGACCATATCCGTGTGTTCTATCCGTTCACTGTAGAATACTGAGTAGTTTTTATAATAATGTTTTAATCTTGCTACATTTGGCATTCCTTTAAAACCCTATAGTGCCTCCTGAAATCATCCAACAAATAAATATTGCACTTTGTACAACCCGGTGAAAATTTCCATCCTCATGACTTACTAATC